AACACTTATCCCACATAGGAAAGTTAGAAAACTTTGGTGTGGTTTATAAGGTGAAAGTTTGGAATTGAGTTTGGGCCCCAAGAGGTACCAATAGTCTTTGGAAGGGGGAAGACCTATATTCTATTGGATTCGGTCATAGACCCACACACGCGCGTTGCCATCCGACCGGTCGGCACGACACGTGTCCAAGTCGGTGCAGGTGCAGGTGCGGGTGCGGATGGACCTTTGCACTATAGCAACTTTTTGGACAAAAAATATTTAAAAATCTGGACCAAATTGTAAACAAACAAATTCTTGGGTACATTATGAAATTTAAATTTTGGCTTATTCCGGGTGTTTTATTTACTTAACAGACGCGACTTTTAAAATAGAACATCAAAATTACAACATCAGTCTGTAAAGGTATCTTTTCTATACCATTCAGACAAGCTTAAGCCGACCACAGAAACGTATATTGATGGGAACCTGTTTTGCTCATTTTCTAGAGTGTGACGAGATCACGATACAACCACAACTGATTCACTTCTTCCTTCTGAGATAGGTTTGTCAGCCGAACGACGAAGAAATGTGGTTTTATGTGGCTGGAAGGTATGTGAGGTTCTCCATCTCCGAGTTCTGTTTAGTCACAGGCCTAAGATATCATGGACAGTGTGATACACAAATGTATGACAATAGAACATCAAAATTGAAGGGAAAATACTTTTCTCAAAGTGGATAATGTAACACATGAAGACATCAATCCACATTCATCTCCGCGTGTCAAATGTCGGACTTGGATCTTGTCGAAGCTCTACCAGATGATGACGTTGCTCGGATGGATGCGTTGTATTTTTTTCACTGCCTATCTCTTTCCTAGAGATTACAAGAAAGTTGTTGACAACTACTTGTTTCCCCTAGTTGAGGACTTCGATGTAATGAACAGATTCCCATGGGGTAAATTATTATTTGACATTACCTTAGCTTTACTGAAAGATGGGTTGAGTAGGAGAACTCCACATTACAGGCTACGAGGTATGTTGGTAGCCTTTTAAGTATGGATTTATGAGACTTTTCCGAGTCTAGATGGAATTATTGTCACACGAACATCGAAGACACATCCCCGGATCATGAATTGGATGGCAGATGAACAATCTTCTACTGCTAAGTTGGAAGGAGCTGACTGCTTCGCAAATGTTGACGTAATACATCAGTAAGCCTTGTTACAAGTATACTGAACTGTTATGATTACACTTTTACTAATATAAATTTTTGCATATTGTGATTTGTGACTTGGAATCATCGGAAACGAAAATGGCCATGCCATATATGAACAGTGTCCAGTACCAGAAGCCGATTCAACCGGACTTGTTAAGTGAGAGCCGCAGGAAAAAGAGGACAAAGAAATCAGCCGGCAATGCTAGTGCTAGTGGAAAGTCAACGATCCTCTTAACGGACTGTATGGGACGGCCTAATGTGTCGAACGACGATGATGATTTCGTTGATCCTCTACCACGACGTCAAGACTCACCCCCCGTGAAAAATCTCCAATTGATGAAGCACCGTCAGCTGCCCATAATTCTCCAGATGAACCATACCCTCACATGCCACAATGGGTTAATGTAAGTGGATGTAATTATTTTTTTGAAATTAGCGAACACAGATCAATGTCTTAGGTCACATATTACCTTTTTAAAATCATTGGTCATAGATCACTGTGATGTAGGTCACATATCCACTACATATTCATCACAGAACATATTTTTCCTAAGTCACATATAACCTTTTTTTTCCATACAACTGGTCACACTTGTGTTGTTATGGTGTTATGACAGGCATATGATGATTTGAGGATGCAAATATGCAAACTGCAATCGGACAATAAATTGTTGAATAGGGAGCTCGCTGAAATCAAGTCATAGATGTCATGCTTCAATGATGTGCACTCTACAAAAATGAACTCCATTATCCAAATGCAAGGTGTCTTAAAAACTAACTTGATGGAAATTCAAACTAACGTGCAGTTTCTATCTGAAACTGTGTCAGTAATGATATCTTCTTCAATGGAAGAGATTATGAGACAGTTTAGTGAAAAAAACAAAAGATCGAGGCACAGAAGTTCACGGAGTTGGAGACAAGGGAACTCATGTTGCTAAAGGCTCTGATAAGACCGACAAGGTACTTACATGATATTTACACATTTCATTATACACACTATGGTCACATTGACATGCCAAGTATTCTTATTCTCCAAGATAAAGGTGCAAATAGAGCAGCCAAATGTTGGCAGGAAAGGGAAAGGTAAGAAAGACCCAAGTGAAGACATTGGTATTCCCTATAGTCTTCAACCACCATCGTTCGATTTGGGGATTGGTTATACGCAACCTGATGATGTATACTCTGAAGACATTCAGAAACAGGTAGATTCCATTATATCTGACGTGTTGACGGCAACCAAACGTGTTCAGGTAGAGGTATTCACAAAGCCACTATTAATTCTGTACTTGTTACAGATCAACTGCATGCCAATAATAGAAAACTTTAAAAGGTCACAGATCATTCAAAACTTATTCACATGTAGTTTCTATGTCTGATGTGAACCTAACAAGCTTTTACAACAATATACAGGGATCCACGTCTCCTGATGGTCATTCTGAATTACTAGTCAAACGGGTTTCGAGGCCCGCAAGGATACTGCAGTCTCCGTTCATTGTTGGAAAAGGTAAATTGTTCAAACATGATGATCATGTCATAGTTTTTGAGCATTTCAAAGGCGACGTTGAAGAAGTTGACAGATCTACGTTCATGAGTTGGTTCCAAAGGGGTTTCAAACCCAAAAACAAGTACGTACAATTTGTTTATATCTAAGAATGTAACTTAACAATTCATAGTAGTGCAACACTCAATATTCAATTTCATGTTTGTAGGAAAAAGTTTAACGACGAGGACGACAAAATCAAACTTGCATTCGTCATCAGTTCATTCCCAGTTGGTCACAAGTCATGGTTCTACAATCTTATATACACAGAATCGTCTTTGAATAGCACGGTACAATAAAACCACATTATGCTCTTACATATCCACAGAGTGGCCACATATTTTAACTTCTTCACTTACATGTCATTCTTGGTCACACTTTCATATATTGGTCACATATGCACATGTTGGTCACATTTTCATAGACTTTCCTTTTTCTTTAATGTCATTGTTTCCTTTTATTACAGCACATGGATGCATGCTTCTACTACATTTGTCACCTTGCAAAACATGACAAGAATTTACATTTTAGAGCCACAACAACAAATTCTTGATTTCAACATAAAATAAAAGACATATACCCTACTTTTATGAAGAATCCCCAGGTTCTGATGTCGGAGTTGAGCCTTGTTAATGTCATAACTAGTCACAGCCTACCTTTAAGCACACCTTGGGCTGATGTTGACAATGTGTTCATACCAATGCTGCCCACAAACAAGGCTCACTAGATGCTAGGTGTGCTACAATTCAGAAGCCACACCTTGACAGTGTTCAATTCAGCAGGTAAAACATATCGTGACTGGAAGGTTCTAGAAGGCATTGAATCATATGTGAAAATTTTGCCAGCACTTATGAATGCTTTGGGAATTTCGAAAAAGGTCCCTGATTACGACGGACATGGCTCCAAGGAATTGAAAGTGTATATCGACAATACGCTACCTCAGCAGACAAATGGATAATTCTTAACATATTATGTGTGCTTAACCATATATTTTTTCAATCATAACATTAATTTTTCACTGTTATTTTGCAGTCATGATTGCGAGTATTTGTGATTTTGTACGCTTTATACATCCTTCGTGACGGACGATGTTCCATACCACATAGATTCGACATTAACAAGTGTAGACTGGGTATTGCTACACTACTCTACAAATATCGAGAGATGTATGTGAAGCATACAAAGCAGGGATTAATGGAGGAGAGGATGGTTATAGAATGACATCATATGTGTTAGAAAGATGAAGTGTTAGAAAGATGAAGTTTTAGTTGGTAGCTTTTGTGATCTGTACACACATAACTTTTTGTATTTTTGTCATTGTTTCTCAAGTGGATTGTCTTGTTGCTATATATACGAAATTTTACGTGTGAAATATATGACAACATCACTTTTCAAGTTATAAAATCTAGTAATTGTTTTCCACATGAATTACTTTCGTGAACTGTTATTTTTTTGTGACGGGTTATTTTGGGTTTATATGCATATGGATGGCCACATTTGAAGATTGATCACAGATCATGAGTTGCTTTGCACTGGATCATCGATTACGTAATCACAAATTACTGTACATGATCTTTTATTGTTATAAAATGTCACAGATTACTTAATTTAGTGGTACATAACTTTTTTTTTTGGAAGCCAAATTTAATCATTTTTGTGTTATTGGTCAGAGATAACTCTATTTTGTGTCACATGTCATCACATTATGTCCCAAAACTGTTTGGTGATTACATTTATTTCTTATTAGTCACATTTAAATAGGATTTAGGTTACATGTTCATCATATTTTGGTCACAGAGTTGTTATGAAGTCATATCTCAATTTTTTTTCCAAACCATTGGTCACGTCTTTGAAGTTTGATCACATACATGTGTAAGATTCATTAGGTCACAGTTTTGAATTAGCAATGACCACACAATGCAATAACAGCGTTTATGTGTTTGACATCAGGTCACCGGTCCTGCTATGTGAGGAATAGGGATTCACAGCAAACTAGATTACATATCTTTTGACCATGTCTGAATGATTGTATTAACAAACAAATACTCAGACTCAAATAAGATTTTGCAGACTTGAAAAAACAATGGATTGCATATGACGTCAATCTTGTATTACAAATGAATGTTTTAAAAACACAATGGTCACATATATTCAGCGCTATTGGAATGTATTGCATTGACTAATATTAGCTCAATGAGACAAGACAGGATCATCTCCTACGATTGTGACCATGTCCTCCACAACGCTCACATTTCACTGTTGATTTTCATTTTCTGGATGATCTCTTCCTCTTCTCATTTGGCCTTCCACAACTCCATTTCTGGTTAGAAGCTAAGATAATTTCATGTAACACTTCTTTAGGCAATGTCCATTCGCTTGGATTTCCAACAGGATATATAGAATCTTCGTAAGCTTTCAAGTATGCATCACGTGTGTAATAATAAGAACAAAAAGTACATGAATCCCTTTTTGTAGTTGCAATTACAGTCAATGCGTGTGAATATGGTAACAAATCAACTTGTAGCATCCTGCATGTGCATGTCTGTTTCTCAATATTAACAACAAAAGTTGTCTTATCATTGCTAACAGAAAACAGACTAGTTGGAAGGAAAAACTTGGGAGAATATAATCAAATGGACAAATTACATCAGTTGAAAGAAGTATTTACCCAGCAGTCACAGTCTTCAGGAGTATGTCACAAATTATATATCTGAGCAAGTCACAATTAGACAATTTAATGTCACAGAATTATATGGAAATGTCATATGTAGTTGCACAGTTTAATGTCAAAGGATTGTATAGAAATGTCACATGCATTAAGTTGAGGTCACATATATAAAAGGCGCATAAGCACACAAATATATGTTATCACAGATGTGAATTTCAAGTTACATTAGTTCATGTAGCTGTTGTATGAGTAGTTGTTATCGTCAAAATTAAAACTTACCCTCAAGTTCTTTAAATCTATACTCATTTTTCTGATCTCGTTCTCGTATTTGCTTGTCAACTTTGTGAAAGTCCCATGCGCGTTGTCTCTGTGTTTACAAAACCAGTTTTGTGTAGTTTGTCGTAATGACTTCAGTGGGGATACGATTGGATAATTTTTTGCTGTCTTTGTGAATGTATTGACTAATTCCACGATGTTCGATGTCATTGTTGAATATCTATTTTCTGGCATATGGATTCGTGACCACTTTTCAGGTCCAACCTCAGCCTGCAAACATGTATTGTATTGAGTAATATCATATAACTACAATATGAAACCATTCCAATGTTTTGTGAAAAATTATATTGAAGTATTGCAATACCAGGTAAGCGCTAATCTTCTGATTTATTGTGTCTAGTTGCCGCATATGATATTCAAACTCTTCCAATGTGCAAGCTCTGACAGCTGAATTGAAAGCTTGTGTAATGTTTTGGCCAGATTTCCCAAAATGTGACTTCAAGTTCTGCAGCAAATGGTACGAACATATGCCATGATAGGTTCTCGGATACATATATTCTATTGCATTTTTTATACTATTATACCGATCCAATACAAAAAATAGCCCTTCTCTGTTCTCGTACGCCTTTTTCAGGTTTTCTAAAAATCATCTCCAAGATTTGTCATTCTCATTATTTCCAATCCCAAATCCAATGACGAATACAATGTTACTTGCATCTTGCGTACACGCTGTGAAAAGTGTACCTTCGTAGTGACCATTCAAGTACGTACCGTCCACTACAATTATAGGCCTACAATGTTTCCAGTCGCGTATTGATGCACCAAGTGCCATAAAGCAATATTTGAAGCGATTGTGACTGTCAACCTCCAAGTTTGTGACCATCTCAGGATTCTTTTGTTGAAGCATGTAGAAAAACCTTGGTATGTTACCGAATTAATCGGTCGGATCACCTATTATCATCTTCAGGGTTTGCTCACGAGATCTTCATGCTTTCGAATAATTTAAATAAACCCCATAAGTATGCATCATATCACTGCATATATCCTTTGATGTGTATATGGTAGAGACAACGTATACTTGTATTTGATGTTAGAGGACACAACTGTAGCTGATAGTTGCCCGTGTGACCCCAACACTACATTTGATGCACATGTGTGACTACCAATCTTCCGAATCTTAAACAGTTCTGTTTTACCCCATTTGGATGCTCTGCATATCCAACTACATCCCTCTTGTGAGCAACTCAAACATATTATGTATGGCATAAACTGACAGGCTTAACTTTAAAATATCTTTATCAAAGAAGACCCTTCATTCTTTGACATCTCTACCATCTGTAACATAAACAACTGTGATTTTGTTGTCATAAATGTGACCTACATTTTCAATTGCTGCTTCGCAGATGTCTGACGTCATATCCTACAACGTACATAACTCACCAACAACATGTGGATTAACTGGCAATGTGATAGACGGTTTATCTACTTCTGTCTCCGCATCATCAATGATTAATGGGTATTTAGTAGGTTCACGCTCGATAACCTTGAGCATGACGTAAGAGAGCACATTACTGTCATTTCTGATTCTAATTGAAGGCAAATCTTCATTCAGTGTGTACTTCAATGAGACTGCTACCTTTGTAGGATCCAAATTGAACTCCTTTATTACTGTATCCACAAGGTTTACATATCTGCAATTTCGATTTACCAACGCCAAAGAAGTTTGAGATGCATACAATAGGCACACGTGCGAGTACACCATTTTTGCAAATTAAATTTACATTTATTAGTGGTCTAGTGATGAAAGTGTAACGATTGACAGAGTTTGTGTATGAACTCCTAAAATAATAGGCATGCACGTTTTCCATAAAGTTGAATGCATGGTAGAAACATAAATCACAGTTTAGGAATTACAATTCACATACACAAGGTATGCGCATTAGTCACATATACAGCGTGCACTTAATTTTACGAGTGTTTTCATTCATGTCACATTTTTTGAAGTACGTCATGTAAGAATGAATATGACTGAATATCACATGGGTCACAGATCATGTAACACAATTGTCTTACTCAGATTATGCACAGTAGTTCTATATACTGAGTGACTCAGGTCACATTCTTCAAAAAGTCAATCACGGAGAATATGAATTTCAATATTGTTGAGACACACTTTAATTTATTCATCACATGTCTCATATGTGGCCTTCATATTACATTACATACAATACGCGCATTGGTCACATAATCAGATATCAGATCAATTGTCGAAGCACGTACCTGTACTCTATTTTCAGTGATGATCAAGACTTCTGTGACTAATGTTAGATTTCTTCTGCTGCAAATATGATTGTATTAATAAATTGATAATCGTAGTTTGAAATTCAATGATTATTCTTGTCTCTCGCGATTGTATTTGATTAACCGAACACAAAGTTGGAGTATGTGACTCGACGTTTCAATCGCGGGTGAGATTGTGAAATTTATCATCGAAGTCAGTGATAACTGTTACTTGCGTCGTTATCGTCGACAGTCGGAATAGGATTTCACAGTGAGAACGCAGAATGCCAACTGAATTTTTCAATTTTGGGATGTCGATTTTGTACTGAAATGAGTTATGATATAGAAGGGAACTAGGCGTAATTTTAGGAAACGGCTATATATATATATATATATATATATAGACACACACACACACCTGACTTTTGAATCTTCAAACTATGCACCTGATATATGCTTCGGTGCATACTTAGTGTCTGAACTATGATTTTTTCCCGTATAATTATCGTTTACAAACTTTGAAAGGAAAGAATGGTGGCCCATTATGGCCCATATACATACACGAATTCATACCCATATATATCCACATTCTCTTTCTATATTTGCCCGGTTTAAGAGTTGATTAGCAGATAGATTTTGGAGCTTTTTGATATCAACGAACAGATCGTTTCAATGGCTTTTCACATGGCAGTTCTATTACATGGAGGGGAACGGGAGGAGCTCGACCTTTCGAATTATGGACCTCATGGATTGAGTCGAGCCATTCACGAGTTGCTTGTGTTTTTTTTTTTAAGAAATTAATAAAACAAGCCCAGGAACGAATTGACCCACAAGTCGAAAACAAGACTCGTGAAAAAAGAGTTTTCAAGTTGGTTCATGACTCGTCTCTAAACGAGGTCCCGAGTTAGAGTGAAATTCTATTCCATTTCACTAAAATTATTTATGTTTTTTTATCAAATCCAAGAAAATGTCAGGAAAAAAATAACTACTGTGTAGCACGAATAAAAAATATTGAGGAAATTACAAAAAAAAATGTTTATTTTGACCTAGTCATTTGTAAAAATGTCCAAAATTTTTCAATGTCCATTTTTGCAATTTTTTGGACGAGAATACTCTAAGTAGCTTCCATGAAAATTTACATTAAAATAATATTCTTGACATTTCAAATATCGTTCTCGATATTTGAATCCATTTATATTTCAAAAGTACACGTCAAATCACAATATTAAATATTTTCGACATTTCAAACTTTATTCTCGACACATTAAATATCTAGAACGACATTTCATTCCGAACATGACATTTCTCTATACTTTAAATATTGTTCTCAATATTTCTGTGTCTAGCATTAATTGTGATTTGACATGTGCAATATGAAATTATTTATTCTTTCATTAAGGGTAAAATAGAGAATTTGGTATCAAAAAGTGGATATTTTTAAATTCACATATATAAAATTGGACATTTTTACAAATGTCCCTAAAATATTTAATGTAAAAGAAATGTTTTAAAAAATTGTTATTTATGTTTCAATTAATAGCTCCCGTTCCATTATTTGAATTTATAATGGATAGAATAGTATTTTTTTTAAGATTGTGTGGTTGAAAAATTTTCGATTTGAGTGTAATATTATTTTATTGAAAATTGTGTGGTTGAAAGTAGGAGAGAGAAAAAATTAAATTAAATTAAATTGAGGGGTTTTAAATGACTAAAACTGATATTAATAACGAAAAACTTAAAAGAAGAAAACAAAAAATAAAAAGTCGTCTTCCCCAACCCACGCCACCACGGGGAGATTTTTATAAATGGCCTACTACTATTCATTTTTGGTAAAATGTCTATAATACCCTTATTGAAAGGATTTGTCATATTTACACAAGATATCCTTAATTTATTGGGATAGTTTTAAATTCTTCTATTTCTCTCATTTCGAGTTTTAATATATAATTCCATCCTTTGATCTAATAAATTAGAATAATTTGTAATATAATTGTCATGTAATTTACTAAGATTATCATATTCCTTAGATGAAATATCAATAATCTCTAGTTGAGCAAAAATATTTCTTATTTTTTCCAATAGTTTTTCTAGCAGATTATCTAATCCTTTAATTGTATAACCTGGCATTATTCAGATAATTCCTTACAAGCTTTATGAATAACATGTTATATAAAGTTTTTGCAAACATGAAAAGTAATAATCCCTACGATTCTTTCAAGATATTAGAAGAATTCTTTCTAAATTTAACAAAGACAATAATTTTACCTTACTTTTGTTCTTGAATCTGTATTCTTAGAACCGAGTGACCTTCAGGCTCTGAATCTGCAAACTGCTCCCTCAAACGGCCTCTTGCCTCAATGGGAATTTTGCTATTTCAGCTTCTTGCCCTCACTGTATCTTTTCTTAGAATTAAGAGTAAGAATCTTAAGTAAAGAAAATTCTTTCTTTGTTAAAGTAAGAAAGAAATTATCTTCTTCAATCTATCAAGAATCTATGAGATAGGAAATTTAGAAACTCATATCTTTTTGATATCAAAAAATTGAAATTTTATTTCTATAATGATTTATACAAGATTTCTATTGTATACAAGGGGTTTCCAGAAGAACTGGTTTTTGAAAAAAGTTTAAGGAAAGAGAATGGTTTCTAACTCGAGATGCCATTCTTTCCCCAAATACCTCTATTTATACATGACTCAAACTCACTATTATTGATCTATTACATCATTACATACATCAGAATTTTGAAAAAGGCTCACATGCCTCTCTATTCTTTTCCTCCTGGGGTCTACATCTTCACATGCATTTTTTACTTTTTTATCAAAGTGGCATCTTTTCTTCTATTATTGCCTTATCATCTTTGGCTTCATATGCAATTGGCTAGATGCTCTTCTATTATTGTTTTTCCCTCTTTGTCTTCATACGCAGCTGGCCAGATGCTTTGGTAGTGGTAGGTTATTTTCCATCCATCAATCTCTCAATTTTGTCTACACGTGGGGCACTCCCTTAATCTGCATGATTCTTGAATTGTTGTTGGACTTCCATTAATTTGATGAGTA